TATATTCCTAGTCTATCTTAAATTTCTCTAGTTGTGTGTGTGGATATATATCTATATATATCTATATAGATATATATCCACACACATAATATTGATGACAATTACAGAAATTCAAGATACACTAGATATTAGGCTGTTTGTATTTCTAAACTATTTTAAAGTCTGATGCAACAGTAGGGGAGAGAATGTTTTTTGTAGGCAAAAAGTTAATAATTGCCACATCTATACAGTAGATACACAGTATTTATATAACTCCTGCAAATTTTCTAGATGTTTAAAACTCCTAAGAATTACAGAAAAGTTTAAGTATACAATACCACCTGTGAAGTATTAGCCAAAAAAGTTTAATCTGTAGAACTTTCTGATACAGCTTTTAGTATATAACATGAAAACAAGACATAAAGGACTAAGGTAACTGGCATACCAAGGAGGCTGGTGGCAGAGTATTCTGTAAGACAACTGGCCAAGTCTTTTCAGCAAGTCAATGTCAAAAAGGGTGGATGACACATTAGACAATCTCAAGGAAGAAAAAACATTAGCATCTTGTATTTGACATCAGCTTGGCTAAACCTGGTATAGAGGACTTTTTTTGGTATTAATTGCTAAAAATATGATTATTGTCAGGCACGAAATGAAAATGAAAATTTAGTAATGTGAAAGGGTAGAGGTCATTGACTAAAACAAACCTCAGGTTGCAAAATTATACAGGGTACACATAGAGCATAAACTCATCTGTGAAAATCATAAATATGTGTACAGTAAACACTGGGGAAGGGTAAACATTAAGATTTTATCCAATGTAAACTCTAAATAGATGATAATATAATACTTTCCTTTTTAAATCTGGGGTGATTTATATATTTCCATTTTCTACAACATTAATGTATATAACAAAAGACACTTTTAATTTTTAAAACCTTTAGAAGAAAATTGAAGAGAATATCTTTATAACCTTAAAGTAGAAAAGAATTATTTTTAAATGACGCCCCCCAAAAAAAGCATAAAGGAAAGTTGATAAATGCTACCACAGTAACATAAAGTCTATTCATGGAAAGGTAAAAATAAAACAGAAAAAAATAAAGTCTAACCACAAACCAGAAGATGACATTAATAGCTGCAACAAAATACAAACTAAAAAAAGGTGGTAATGTGGAATAAATAACTCCCATGACTTCATTAAAAAACAAAGTCCTAATAGAAAAAGTAACAGAAGTTACCATGTCATATCACTGAAAATGATATGCCAAAGTCTGTAAACCTATTAAAAATACTCAGACTAGTAATTACGGACATACAGATTAAAACTATGCGACATAATTCACACCCACCCCTCCCCACCTGGTGCTCTCCCTTTGGTCTCATTTTATCACTAAAACCTCGCAATATCAGTTACCCCCAACTACAAAAACATCTATGAGAGAGGGGCTCAGAGTCTTCAGATATAACAAAACAATAAGGCACTGCAAATACTAATCACCCTGATTTGACCAGTGCACACAGTACACAGGTGGTCAGACGTCACACTGTCCCCCACAGATACGTGCAGTTATCGCACACTGATGAAAAATTTAAAGAGCCTTCTGCAGCCAAAAAAAATGCAATAAGAAGCCACACAAATGTAGTTTCACAAAAAGAAAGAAAAGATCTGTTTGGGAAGAGGCAGCTGTCGTTAAAACTATTCACCATTTTTTCAGTCTGAAAATGTTTCTTCCCCCGGAAATTTCTGATTAAGTATGTATGACACCAAAGACAATCGAGAGTTTAAAAGTCTATAAATCATCAAATAGATAAGAAGCCCTGAGCAGGGAGTGGCTCCATCTGCGGGAAGTTCACGCTCCACTGCAGCTATGGGTTGGAGGGCAGCCAGCACCAGTGTGGGCCGGAGGAGCTCTCAGAGGACAGGACAAGGGAGGACGGAGGTACATTTCAGAACAAGCACGGCCCTGCTGTGCTGGCCAGAGGAATAAAGGACAATGGGTTCTTCAGCAAATCCCACACTGGAGAGGAAATAAGACTTCCATGCCACCCACCTGGCAGTGTAGAGAAAAAGGTAGCTAAGAAAAAAGGACGAGAAAGGGCACATGCACACCATCGTGTGCAAATACACACACGCGCCATTCATTCTATCCACCAGCCACCTCCCTAAGCACACCCTTAACGTGGATTACATCATTCAGTCTTCAAAACCACCCCAGAAAGGCAAGTCTCACTTTAGAAATGAAGATGGCAATGCTCAGACAGATTTAATAAGCCGCCAAAGGTTGCCCGCTATTGGTGAGTGCGGCTGGGATTCAAACCCAAGCCAGTCCGACTCTTTCCTGAGCACACGCAGAGGAACAGGCACACTGCACAACAGCTCAGTCTTGGAGCAACTCCAAGGCTGCCCCCAGCAACGCTCGCTCTCTACTGCCACGTCTGATGCAGCCATGCAAGGAAGATGTGCACTCAGCTAAGCTCAGCAGGATCCCAGCACAAATCGCTGCACCCTTGATCCCCAGGCCACAAGGCACAGAGCTCACTTCCATCAACACACCAAGAGCTTCCCACTGTGTAATCTTGGCCACAGAAAAATGAGGTTAAACCACTATTGTTGTTAAACAACCTGTTGGTTGGCTCCAGGCAGCTGCACTCCGAGTACCCCCAGTGCAGATTTGCTCTGAAACCGACCACCGGTGCTCCTCCATGCTGGCAGGGTTGCTGCATTACCTAACGTCCAGCAGTTGACGTTCTGCAGGAGGACGGTGCTGCTGTAGATGGCATGCATGTACAGGAGGTGAACCATCAGCTCAGCCAGCGCCCACCAGCACAGCAGGCGACCCAGGCCTCGGGCGAGGACACAGAGGCTGTCCTTCAGCGAGCAGAGCTCTGGCTGCTGCATCTGTCAGGAAACAGAGACAAGGCATTAGCTTGTGGCCCCATTATTTATTAAAAATAATGTTTTTAATAAACTTCTCCAAAAATATACTGTGTTGCTACTTACAAAGAGTTGGATTGGTTTAGTTTGGGAGTACTCAAGGTTCTTGGGTGAAAAATATTCCAAAGAGGAGGAGGAGCCCAACATGCTGCCCCAGTACCCAGAACTGTGACAAGTCCATCTTCCCCACTGCTGCCCCTGGGCAAGGGCCCTGGAAAAACCCAGGCCAAGAGGGAGACACTCGGTATGTTCCTGCCCTTGGGACCCTGCGCTCACTGGACTCCAGGTACTGGCCTGGCTGTCTTCTCCCATCATGCATTGTTGTCTGTGGCTAAGGAAAAAGAGGCACAGGTCTGGCGAGAGAAAGGGAGAGTGGGAAATAGAGCCAAAAAGTGAGAGGAAGAAGAGTATGCGTCTCTGTGTGGTTTTACCTCAAGTTGTTTTTGAAACAAAGCAGGGGACAAATATCTTGCTCAGCAACAAAGTATCATAAGGGTTACAAACATAGGCTTTAGTTGGATTCAATCAGGCTCAAATTCCAGCACAAGCCATACAGAAAGTTGAGAAAACTTGGTGACAATTAAGTACATAGAACATGGGATTCACTAGGGCCAGTGTGTGACATATGAAAGCACTATGGGACTATTGTGCGTCTCCTATGTGCACCTTCCTCACAATCCTCCTCCTAAGTCCCAGAATCCCAGCCACGGGGAATAACAGGAAAGAGATCAGACCAAGGCATAAAGTGAGAGAGGGTGTTTTGATTGCTCACAGGAAAACTACAGGACAGCATCCCTTATCTAAATGTTCAGGACCAGAAGCATTTCAGATCTGAGAGTATTTCAGATTTGGAATATTTGCATGGATGTCACTGGTTAAGCATGATCTGAAAGTCTGCGCAGAAACTTGGATTTTGGAGCATTTCTGATTTTGAGGTTAGGAATGTTCAATCAGCACTGAAAGTAAACATTAAATGGACAGGACAAGACACAAAAAACAGTTCTGCCAAGGTAGCCGGCTTTGCAGACAATGCACAGTAATTTAAACACAGAGATTCTAGAATTCATAAACATGCTATAAGATTTGAGGCCAATTCAATTTCATTCTTACACCACTAGGCAAACACCAAAAAAAAAAAAAAAAAAAAAGCAAGAAAGAGCAGTCATAAATTTTCTGCATCTCACAACAAGATTTCAGGAGGTTGCAGTGAGGTATGTAGCCACGCCGAACCTGGGCCAAACCTGCACACCATGGCTGTTAAAGGACATCGACTTGACTTCGCATTGGACCTTTAGGCTCATGACACTAAGTAAACTAGAAGGGCCAGAAGTTCACTGGTCAGTCCAAGGTGGCGCCCCAGAGAAGAGGTGGGGAGTCCCCAGAAAGAGACTCAGGCAGATTTATTACAGAGTTAGAACATTAGAAAATAGGAAAGGGACTTGCGCTGAGACAGCTCCAAGGGCACACCTCTGATGGAGGAGATGAGACTGACCCATTAACGAAAGAATGGGACCTCTTATGGATCTGCTGGCATGGGCTTGGGTCTGGCTGAGCATTATCTCAGTGCTGGTTTTGCGGGATGGTCCCAGGAGAAGTCTTATTTGGCCTTGTCTGGTCTCCATGAGATGGCTGTTCTTCTTGGGACAGTCTCAGTCTTACGGAGGTTCTGCTGGAATCCAAGGTGACCACAGGGCAGTGACGGGAGACTTCCAGGTGCTCACTGGTAGCTATAAAACTCTTATCTTAGTGTACTGGCTTGAAGGGGAATGTAAATATAGGGCTAACCAACGCCGCTTGCCAGCTTTTAGAAAGACATGCCTAACATGATTAACATGTCTAAATGGGCAGCTGAACAAGGATCAAACCCAAAGTTTTAAGGTAATAAAGGAGACAGATACCTGTAGGCCCCAGGGTAGAGTCATTTTTTTTTTTTTTTTAACAAAATCACTTTTAAATCCCTGAATGCCTCAGAAGAAAACACAAATCCTACTTTTAATGAGTAACAGGTTAGGGGTCTAGGAGTTTGTGTGACACTAGGCAACTCTGCAGCTGCTGTCTGCACTAGGAACCCGGTGCTATGGCTCCTTCTGCCACCAGGAAACAGCAGGCACTGCCCACATGCCAGGGGATCTATTTTTATTCTTCTTTTAAGCATACGTCCTATCACTTCCTGAAACTATCTTCCTAACACCAGAAGCCAGGCAAGGCAATCCCGCTGGCTCCATGGTATCGCAGTAGCTACTTAGCTAGCCCTGCTCCACTCATCCCTACCATCTCTGAATGGAAATGTGTAAAGCTGACTTGCAGTAATCAAGTAACTTCGAGGACAGCATGCAACAGTGACCCACAGCAGGTCCATTTCTGGGCATAAACTGAGACCTGGCTCGTTACCGTCAGCACATATACACAGAGAGGCCCTACAGAGTCCGCAGCAGTGGGTCTACCAGCCAGTGGATCATGACATCCTCAGGGCAGAAATGCCTACTGCCAACTCATGAATATCTATGCTATTTAACTAAAGAGAAATAAAAAGGAGATTATTCTAGTATCCAACAGCAACGGGCTGGTTAAATGCATGACTGCACTTTAATATTATTTAGCTATGAGAACTATTTTTATTCAACATGAATAACAAGGAGAAGGTAGAAAAATATACACCAAAATGACAACAGTGATAATCTTTAGATTATCTTTTAGGAGTTTTTGACAATTTAAATGAACTATTTTTGTAATCAGGATGAAAGTAAAACTGAAAACTTCGGACCTGTCTGTCCGTGAGCAGGCACGTTAGGCCCGCTCTGTTCTGCATCCACCTCCAGCAGATGCACCGGCAGGGCTCTCACTGGGAGCCAGCGACTTCTAAGAGCAGGTCTGCTCTCTCTTATGCCAGAGTGACTTTTCCTCCTTAACTTCCCGCCTCACTCAGTCTTCAACTCTTTTCACTCTGTACTGACTTCATCTTTTTCATCTCCACCCTTTTTCTAGCCCTAAGAAGCAAATTCATCTTGACGTAGTAAGGGCCGGTAAATGAGGAACCAGTAACAAAAACAATGCTACGGTCTCTGTGTGTGTCCCTCCTAATTCATATTTTGAAGTCCCAGCCCCCCGATCTGAGTGACAGTCTTTGAGCCTAAAAGTGGGGTCTCTGAGAGGTGATGAGATCATGACAGTGGGGCCCTTAGAAGAGAGACATCAGAGGGCCAATGACTGGCTCTGCCACATGCGGGGACATGGTACAGGGGTGCCATGCTGTGAGCAGGAAGGGGGCCCTCGCCAGATGCCAAGTGTGCTACTCCCTTGGCTGTGGGTTCCTGGCCTCCAGAACCATAAGAAATGGAGTTTGGTTGTTTGAAACCCGGGTACCAGTTTACGGCATTTTGTTACAGCAGCCCCAGGGATAAGACAAGTGGCATCCATTCGCTGTAAGGCAAGAAGAGTTTACGCCAAGGCAACGAGGCCGAGGACAAAGAAGCCCAGAGTCACTCAGGCTCAGCAGGTGGCTTTTCCTGCTCCCACTCACTCGGACAACAGCACGCTGTCTGCTTACACACGGCAATAGCCGCAAAGGCAGTATGGCAGAAGACAACCTTTTCATAACTGAGTGGCTCTACTACTTTTTTTTCAGCACTAGGGAGTCAATCCAGACTCTTCCTACTAAGCTACATTCCAGATCCTTTTCTAAACTTTCTTTTTTTATTTTGAGACAAGGTCTTCCTAAATTGCCCAGACTGGCTCAAACTTGCCACTGTCCTGCCTCAGCTTCCGAGAGCACTGGGATTACAGCTGTGCAACACTATACCCAGCTCCAGTCTAAACAATCAGCTATGCACATGGTGCACAGGCTACTGAGCATAAACCCACCTCAAGCACAGGTCCTCTGACATCCAGGCCTGTGTCTAAGGGCTCAGGACACCACGTCATCCGGGCAGCCCCATCCCCACAAGTAGAGAAGGCAGCTGGCTTGGAAGGGAGCCAGGACACAGCCAGAGCTAAATATCGCCTCTGCCTCTCAGCTGCAGGCAATCACCCTCAAGTCAGCGTGGACCCCTCTGACCCTCTTCAACACGTACAGCCTAACACGACACACGTACCTGTAATTAACAGCCACAACATGTGTTTGTGGCTGACTGCTTCCCAATACTGACTTACCTGCTTTCCACAGGCCAAAACTCCCCCATCAGGTTGGATAAGGCATAACTATGTGTCATCACTGGACCAGAGGGCAGGATTTCTCATTCTGAGCAACAGAGATGCATATTCCTTAGTTGTGCAGATGCACCCAGGAGAAGGAACACAATCCAGCTGCTCACTCTATTTGCTTTTCCCTAAATGAAGGCCTTCTGTCTTCCTACAGGGTTGTGCTGTTACAACAATCCATTTATACCCTAACCTAGTGGACTCACTTCTATTTAAACCTGTGCACCCAGAAAAGCAGACAAGCCACACAGAGTTCATCTAATGAGCACCGCTGCTGTCTTGTCTGCGCACGAGCACCTCACTGGAGATATTTGCACCGAGGGGTTGTCAGCCTTAAGACCACTGCAAACTGCCACCGCGAGAATTTTAGGTTCAGGCCCCACTAAAAAATACACATGAACTCACCTGCAAAGTACATTTTAAAGCACATTATATTTTAAGACCTCATTTCATGCAAATTGCATAAAAGGGAACAGTGAAACCTTCTCTCTCTCAGAAACGTTCTGGTGATTAGAGATGACAGCCCTCAGAGATGAGCGGTCTTTCCCGCCCCTCCCCAGCAGTACAAACCAGAGAGCAGCAAGCAGAGGCAGGAGCCGCACCGCTGCACAGTGGGCCAGCTCTTCTACCCTCCCCAACCACAGGCCACAGCCCTGCTCCCCAGCAGGCCTCACGCCCTGCCCGCACCCCCGCCGGGCTGGGTGCTGTGGTCCTTCTCAGACAGCGCCGGGGCCTGCAGCTGGGGTTACTGTCACAGCCTGGACTTGGTCTGGCTGGCTGCTGCCTCCACACCTGCAGGTGTACCGCGCCACACTCACGCCCCTCTAACTGCTGTCGCGCAAACTCAGCGTGCCAAGGCCCGTTTCTCACCCTTCTGCCCAGCACTGCGTGCACTGAGCCCCCTGTGCCTTCCCCTGCTCGTCTGCAGTATGGTCGCAGCAGCGTCTCCCTCAGCAGCTTACCTGGGGGTGAGAGCTAGAACTCGAGAGCTGCCTGGAGTGAGCGCTCTGGCAGTGTGGATGCAGTCGGCACCATCCGGTGCTCTCAGAGCCACAGCCGCATTCAGCCACCTTGAAGAGAATTTCGGGGACACGGCCACCCGCCTGGCCCTTGCCAGCCGCTCAGCGGCAGCCTGCATCTCTTCAAACAAAGGGTTGAAGCTCCTCAGTTGGCTGAGGGTGGTCACTGCCAGAATCCCTGCCACTGTGGCCTCCACCAGGCTGGACACCAGGGCACTCCTGGCCTAGACCGACCATAGAATCGTCACATGCTTCTGTCTAATAATAACAACAACAGGAATAAGTAACCAGTATGGCTTCTGTCTCGAGCCACACTGGCCACACAGAACCACTTGGCTGTCACAACAAGCCGCAAGGGAGGTGCTGCTGCTCCTCACGGTTCACAGTGGTGAGCAGATGAAGGGATGCTCCTGCCCCTCTCGGAGGAGGCAGGGCAGGACTCGAACCCAGGGGCTTGGGTGCCAGAGCCTCTGTGCTCCAGCTCCACGCCCCCTCCCTACTGAGCACTGGCAGGGGAGCTCCAGCTGCCTCTCCGGCTGCCTCTGAGGCTCACCCCCTCCCCACCTATGCAAAGGAAGCCGAGCAGTCTCCGGATGAACAGATGAGCAGCAGGTAGCCTTCCAGGTCCTCCTGGACCCCACCTGCCCTAGTTTAGGATCTGAAATGCACAGCATCGTGGCCGAGAAAAGCTGCCGCTGACGTTTGTGAACCTCTAAAGGCCGTCAGAAACAGTCTTGTAACATGTGAGTCCTACTTGTTCGTGACTGGAGAGCGCACATTTCATGTGCATATGACAGAGGGCACTTCCGCACTTCTGTCGCCTCACGCATGGAAGCTTTCTCCAGGCCAGGCCTCCACTCTATCGCCTGGAGCTGGAGGCCCGAAGAAAACTGCCTTTCCCTCCCGGTCGGTTCCGCTGTGGGGCTCTACTGCCCCCTGGTGGTGAAGCCCCATTCTCCAGCTCTATGTTGCTAAACTTTGGCCTGGCAATCTAAGCAAGAACCTAAATTTCTGGATTACCTGTCCTCATGTGCCAGGGCATCTTGTGCTACTAGATTAGCATTTTAGCTCCCCTCTTCCTGCAGGTGCTAAGAACCCCACAGGCCCCTGGGCAACTGCAGAGACCTCCTGAATCATGTTTTATTTGTCCTGTAGCTTTTTCCTGACCATTTTCTCAACTTTTCTATGCCTTTCCAAATTCCCTGGACTCTGCATTTGCTGTCTCTGGAAGGCATGGAAAGAGAGGGATGAGACATAAATGGAATCTGGAGTCTCTACCCGAACCCCTACAGGAAAATGTGACCCCCCTTCCCCTTTTCCTACCCAGACTGAGACTTAGGAGACCGAGAGTTCTTGGCTGAGAATTTTGGTAAACAGTCATCTCAAGACCTGCAGGACCCAAAGACAGGTTTCTGATACTCCTGCTGCATCCTAAAGGCCACAATTTGAAAGGAGATAAATTATTATAAACTATAATAATTGTGCAGAATAAAGTGCAGACTCCATAGGGAACATCTTCTTATGGATAGGATAAGATGCAGTTAGGAAAATAATTGGTCTCGAATGGACTGAGCTGGTTTCTCTGAGAATGACTATCTGTCCCCAGGAAGGAGAAGGGTGAATATTTCATCCAAAAGTTATTGTCTGGAGAGTTTGGAAACATTCAAAATTCACAAAGTCAAGGAGCTTGTGAAAGAGACACAGTGTGGAAGATCTGATCCACCCCATTCTGGGCCCCTCAGGCTTCCCACGGGGAGGAAATTGGGATAGTACTTTCAGCCGGGAGCATGCTCCAAGTCACCTGGAAGGTCTCTTAAGCCATATTGCTGGGCCCCACCCCAAGGTCAGGTGGGCTGGCGCCGGGTCTGGGACACTGCAGGTCCAGGGACCTCACTTAGAGCACCCTGAGTGAGAAAATCAGCTGCCATCGCTATACCACTTCTGCCTTCTAGCAGTCACTTAACACAGTTTCAAACACATCTGAAATGGCCTCACGACAAAAGAGTGATTCTATATAACCCACACAGAAGTACAAGAGACCATACACTAAACCTACCTGTGCCTGGAGTATCAATTTCATTTAAAGGTTTCTGGAGGGTAAAAGTTACATAATTTCACTGACAATTTTAGCATATAATGTTATTGTTATAATGTAAAAGCCTACTTTTAAATCCAATATGTAACTCAGTGGAATTTTTGAGACAAAATAAGTCATTTCTAGGAGCCTTCCTTCTCAACGGCACCTTTCATGCTGCCCCCCCCAGAAATGGGCAACACTACTGCTGGCCCTGAGCTCTGAACTATGCTTCCAGGCGTGTGCACATATGTGTATTGTGTGTGCATGTGTTCTGTGTTGTATGCATGTCTGAACATTTTGTTCTCTCCTCCACCAAGACTGTTCTGCTTTAGTGGTAGGGGCTGAGCAGAAATAGCCCTTGGGAAACTCTTTTCAGTATTACTGACCATGAACATCTAAGGCGAATTGACTTAAACATGTCCCATGAGACCAGCTGTGGCTGAGGGAGGTAGGAAGTGGGGGGAGCTGGGGGAAGGTGTACTGGGAGGGAGAGAGCTGCCTAACTTGTCATCTCTTAGGAGGATGCTGTCCAGAGAGGGAAGGCAGGACCCTGGGTACACGCAGGACTCAGCCCGGACCTGCAAATGCGCTGCTGCCTTCCAACAGTCTTCACCTTTATTGTTTTCTCATCTAGATGACCAAGTGATTCCCAGACTACCACAGGGCTACTTCATAAGCAGTTTGTGAATATGAAAGGAAATATACTACTTCCCAAACAAACGGCACAGTTAGCTTCTCTTCCCACTTTTTCAAGTAATACCATCATAATCAAACTTCTTCTTCCCCTGGGGCTTCACTGTAGGGGACAGTGGCTCCCAAGTCCCTGTCTGCCGACTCATGGACCCCAGGAGCCACAGTCCACCCTGTTGGGCCCCTAGAGCTGACACCCAAGAGACAGGCCAACCTTGGCTGTGCCAGTTTGTTCTCTGATGTAGCTGAACTATTTGTAGAAACGTGTGACAGTGAACAGTGTGCATTTTCATTTGCGGACACACAAAGTGCAGAGACTCAAACTGTACAGATGAGTAGAGCAACGTGGACAGCGTCTCAAGCTACCAACCACCCACCCAGTCCCAGGGGTGCTACCTGTTTGACGAACTCTGGGAAGTTGAGGATAGGCCCATTGTGGAAGACGGGATAATAGAAGACGTACACCAGCATCCAGGGAAAGGGGTGGGCGGCACACACAGTAGGCAGCTGTTGCCAGCAGAACTCCAGGCTGAAGCTGGTGTAGTACAGGCAGCGGACAGTCAGCGTGAACTGCAGCAGGTAGTACTCACTGTCGGTCTGGTACCACCTCCTCTGTAACGCCAGAAGGACAGGACAACCAGTAAGCGGCCAGAAGGGCAACGACCCATCGCAGTGCAGCCAGCTAGCATGGCTGCCTCTGTCTGGGAAGCCCAGGAGGAACATGCTCCCTGGGCACATCAGCTGCACCATCAAGGGAGAGCAGAACAAATGAATCCCACTAAATCCCACTGGTAATCAAAGCAAGCAGCAAAGGCCGGAGCATAGCTCAATAGCACAGCCTGTGCTTAGCATGTCTAAGGCATTAACAAGCAGTGGAGAGGAAACCATCTGTAACACCAACCATCAAATTGGCACACAATGAAGGCTTTCCTGGATATGCATCTATGAGAGGCATCCTGGATAGCACGGAGGTCAGCTACATCCCGTGGATACTCCAGCAGCTTCTCCAACAATGCTGATGGCCAAGGGGGGCCTGTGACTGCCACGTTCTGCCTTCAATGCATTTTTCTTCTTGCTCTTCTGTCATTAATGTGTTAAATCAAACAGATGAGACTAAGAGGTATGTGAAATGAAAAGTTTATGCAGCTGTTACACAGGATAGCCAAAAGTAAAAGGACTCATCCTAGCTGGCTGTGGTGGTAAATCCCCAGCAGTACATGAGGCTGAAGCTGGAGGATCACAAGTTCCAGCCCAGCCTGGGCAACTTGGTGACTTAGCAAGATTCTGACTCAAAAAATAAAATAAAATAAAAAAGACTGGCCCTGGAACAAACTCCCTCAGCCACCAACAGCATGGCCAGAGAGCAGCTGAGAAAACATCAACTGGACCTGGGGTGTTTAATACCAAAAATCTTGGAGATGAAAACACAAATCATTTACACTGACCCTACATTGGTATAGACAGAAGCAAGAAGACACAAAGCCAGTAAAGTCCTGGAGGAGGAGGAGAATCCAGAGAGAAGTGTTGGCTACCTCTGACTGGGTGGTTCTAAAGGCACAATATGATGTCACCTTTATACCTAATCTTTAACCTACAAGAAAAGAATTTCGAGCAGTTCTTTTTCTTTGTCAATTTAGCTTAAAGCTATCAGTTAAAATAAAATTTTTTGTCTCTTTCCTCCTTGCTCTCTCTGTCCTGTAACTTAAGGCATCTCAATTCTCTTACCATTACCAAATGACCTTTATTTTTTGTTGTTTTTTTTTTGGGGGGGGGTTGTTGTTGTTGTTGTTGTTTTCCCCAGTACCAGGAATCGAACTCACGACCTTGCGCTTTCAGGCAGGCACTGTGCCGCTGAGCTAAATCCCCAGCCCCACCAAATGACCTTTAGAGACAATATTCAAAAGAAATACTGTAGTCCCTGCTCTTCATGTGTATCAAGGAGACAGGTGTGTTGAAAATGCAATTCCACTGAGCAAAACAAAAGTAACATGCATGTGCAAAAATATGCATGGGACCGAAGACAAGAGGAAAGTGTGATAAAGTGCTAACAACATTGGAGAGAGTGAAAACACGGAATATCTCGTAGTCTTCATATTGTCCTACATTTTTCCATAATGTGTATACACTGTTTCTTGGTGAGAAAACACACTAGGGTCATATATATACGAGTAACAGAACTCTCGGTCAAAGGAAGGAGTAATTTGACCAGTGAAGGTCTTCTAAGGCTCTAGACAGAAAAACTAACTCTGAACAGTATAGTATCTACTTTACATCCAGGATCAGCCACCAAAGGGGAGGAGTCTACTCAGATAAAAAAAACCACCTGAGAACACGTCTGAAGCCCTGACTTGCCTCTGGTCACAATGTTTACCTGCCACCATAAATCCACATGACAAATGAACATTTATTCAACAACACCCATAACGGATGCTATCTCCCAAGAAATGATAAACAGAACTAGATTCTGTTTTCTGCCATTGTGAGATCCGAAAAGTTAGCTGTTGATTTGTTTTTACTTTTGTTGCAAGTCTATTTTTAAGCACACTCATCTAAATGACCGCCCAGTCAGTCTGGAAAGCTAAGGCTTTTGGTTAAGACAGAAATGCTACCTTGTCTGCGCTCACAGCCCATATTAGCTGCACTGTGTTGGTAAGGGTGCAGAAAAGGATGGCCAAGCAACAGCAAAAAAATACCTCAACTTTCAAAATGCTCCATCCATCCTGTCACTTAACACAGATTTCACCCTGGGGACAATCTATGATGAAGGTAAGATAACTGTCACTGTGGTTTTCCAAATGGTGAGACTGAGGCTGAGGTTAAATGGCAGACTCCAGCTTCAACAGTAAAATAGGACAGGGAGCAGAAGAACTCAGAGACCAGGCTGTCAGACTCACCTCTCCCACTGAGCTCGTTCCCACCGTGGGCAGATTCAGGTCCCACAAATTCTAAACACGGTCACCTGGATCCAATGGTGAGCCAGCAAGTGAATAATGAATAAAAATAAGACATTACAGGAGCTCCAGCCCTGCAGTGATTGAAGACAGGATATCAAGACTTCCCAAGAGTGTCTGTGCAAGGGGTGTTAATGTGATACAGGTAAGAAAGAAAAGAGGGCCACACAGAAACACATGAGCGAGCATCAGGCAGCACTAGGACAGCTGCGGCCCACAGACTGCGTGTAAGTGGCCAGCCTCACTGGAGCCCTGCGAGCCACTGCACACACCTGCTAAAGGGAAAATCCTCACACCAATTCAATTTGGTAGAGTTTATTCAAACAAAGAACAACACAAAGCAAAACAGGACTCACAGATTGGGGAGCTCCCAGAACTAGAGCAGGTTCTGAGAACTCCAGCCAGATGGAAAACAACTTAACTGGCTACAGCCTATTCAATCAACCAATTAATTGGTTACAGCTTAAGTACTTAATTGTTCACAGCTTAATTAGATAATTGGCTACAGGGCCTTCAGCAACCAACCAAAGCTAAGTCACTGCGATTAAACTCCACACTGGTTTGGTATTCCTGACCCAGCACAGGTACCTGGTCCAAATCCACGGACTCTCACAAATTGTAATGAACATCCGTCTCTTCCTCTGCCTCGTCACATTTCAACAGCCACACTTGCTCTGGCCAGGCATCTGCAGAGAACTGACCTGGCTGGAGTCCTGTGCCCAGGGGCCTGGCGTGACTGGCCTTCCTCTCGAAGAGTTTATACGCTGGTCTGCAAGGCCAGACACGTAAACCACTGCACCACGCCAAGATGCCTGTGATGATCTATGTCACAGTGTGTGAGCACGAAAGCTCACAGCACAGAGCGCAGCAGCCCAGGGCACTCCACACCGCTCAGTGACTCCACCTGAGGAATGTGAGAGAGACCACCCAGGCAGGACACGGACAGGGTTCATAGAGAGACAGGACTCAGTTTAGAGACTATACTATGAAGATGACAAGAGGTTTGTGAAAAAGAGGCTGGTTTAAAGACACAGAATTTAAAATGTCTAAAGAGAAAAGGGAAGATTTCCCAGATTCCAACAGCAGTAAAGGATGGACAGGGAGAACAAAGTGGCTCTAGCCTGGACCACAAACCCCTAACGTCTTCAGAGTGTGAGCTCTCTCAACCCAGTAGGTGTCAAAGCTGACTGACCACGAGGCTGACAGGCTCTAATGCACACACACTGGAGCTGGTTCCATGGACTGGCTCCTCCTGACATGCATTTCTCCCAAAGGAGACTAATGCTCCCCAGCCCTGCAACACAGATCTGACCGCTTCCCTAGCAGCAGTCTTGGATGACAAGACAAGACTGATTTTCGAACTTGAAAAGTGTATGTTCAACAGATGGGTGATTCAGGGAAGCCATGCAGACAGCACGAGGGGTCCCAGCCAGGCCCCAGCTTGCACAACCAGAGCCAAGTCATTCAACTCCTCCTGAGAGAACAGATAGCTCACAGCTCAAGCTGTGATGATCCAGAACCAGAAACACAGAGTTGGAAGAGCTGGCTGAGGAGCACCATCACGTGGCAGCACTCGGGACTCCCACACTTGGGGTGCCACCTCTCTGTTGGCCAACATCCCCTAGGCCAAGTCCAGGATCTACTCTCAGATATAAATGCACTGTTATTGTGACTAGAAAACAAACAAAGCTATGAAGGTGAAGATCCTGTTAAAGAAAAACTTACAGAATACAAACAGAAGCTGCCGAAGTGGCGTTTGAGCCCAATGTCACCCTCCTTTAGCACAAACAGGTAGTGGGATGTGTGCAGATACTGCTGCGTTCACAAAAATGAAAGCTTGTTTTGCTTTCTAAATAACAGAGCTTCCATTATTATCTATATGAATTGGTAAAAAGTAAATGTTTCATAAGCTAAGAAGAAAACCACTTGTTACATCTGTCTCACAGCCATCTGGGGCTGAGAATGAGATGAAGAATGGTGGCAAAAAAGCCCCCTACAGCTAGCAGGGCATTTGTTCAAATGTCTAGAGGACTCGTCTAGCTCTGACGCTGACCCTCTGGTCTTGTAACACATGGCACACTGTGCCAACCCAAGCAGGAAAGAAGGTACAGGGTCAGCCCTGGGCAACCTCCCAGTGCTGAGACAAAAGTCGGGACTAAAAGTGCAACAGCAGGGCACTCACACATAACCTGATATGGCCACTAGGGGCACCCCATCAAGGGTCTACCACTGGCTGGAAACAAGAGCATGCCCTGGGGCGTGAGAAAAGCAGGGCCTGCCGCTTCCTGAGGGTGAGATGACAAAAGAGCAAGGCACTTACCTTCATGTCCTCCACACCCTGCAGCCTCAGTGTAGAGAGCAGGAGGAGTGAACAGAGCCAGGACAGGAGAGGCGAGCGGAACTGGGCCACGCAGAATGCGATGGTGGTGTGCAGGAGAACCATGACCACGCCCGGGGTCCCCAGCGCACTCCAGCAGGCCCACAGCCCGTAGGCCATGAGAATCCAGGGTCTATGCTGTAGACAGGGAACAGCCCGTGAGGCAGGGGAGAGATGGTGAAAAGCAAGATGAGTGAAGGGCATTGTTATTAAACCGTCTGTGTGCTCCAGGATAACCTTTACTAAGCCACTAACCAAACTCTTGTTCTCACTGCCCTGGGGATTCAGACAGACTTTCCACCTCCAGCCCAGACTCCCAGAACTCCATGAAATCCACCCAGAAACAAGGAACCATTTCCTGCCTTCAGCCAAAGCTCCAAGACCACTGGATCCCACAACTTCTCTGCAGCCTTTTCAGCAGACACAGGTGGAAAAACCAAACCTGGAAGGCCACATCCTGCAAACCTATCCTTCCATAGGAGACAGTGAAAAGGTCCCGGTACACATTTCTAGCAAGTCCTGTGGAGGAGACCGGGCCATCCACACCACCAAGGCCTTTCTGAAACCTAGGACAGAGACTTACACACCCAATCACATTTTTTAATGTATTCTTATAGTCAGATGGATCCCACAGAAAATTGTATCTCTCCAGCTTTATGTGATGGTGAAGCCTGTGTATAGTCAATCTGATTGACACATTTATTCCTATTTTTAAAAGAATCAGGATTTTTCCTATTTGTCAAGTAGTTTCTATCTATCACATTGAATATCTAAACAGATGAATTAATATTTGCTATCATGACATGCTCATCCTATCTGGCTGGTAAATCCTCATTTAAAAACTATGTTAATGTTTTAACGCTGAGAGGGAACGTATATTATGGTGGTTTAATAATACAAACTTTGAAGTCCAACTGCCTAAATTTAAACATCAATGTTCCCACTAGCTAGCAGTGTGACCTAGGTGAGTTATTTAATCTCTCCGTGCCTCCATTTCTTCATCTGTACAACCTACTTCATGAGGTTGTTATAAGGACTGAGTAAATTACATGTGTGAAACACTTAGAATATCAGCATACACAATAAGGACTGTTCAAACACTACTTGCTATTCCCGAGGAAGCACAATGTCTCACGAGTGTGTACTGTGAAATGTGGTTCCAGGGATACACAGAGCTGAGACGTGGGGACTGACTGGATCAAAGTCTTCTCACAGAGGATAGAAGAGGGTACACAGTGTAAATCCCATGCTTCCATGTGAACTCTCCCCAAATATTGCCAAGTATTATTCTTTCCCAAACCTACACTCCAGCCCAAGAAAACATTGTAAAAGTGAGACTAGGTCACTCACTTCTAAATTCCAAGAAAACCAGAGAAATCTGAAGTTCATTTTTACTATTTTTCCACCCTCCAACCCACAGAAAACAATCACATAAATTTGCTTCAAACTTTCCCCCACTCACTCACCTCTGGGCAGAGACCAACTTTAAAAACCAAGGTTTCCAGAGACTATTTTAAGACTTGGTTCTCACAAATGAGAAAAAGGTTCTTTTCAACATGACTTGCAGCAGTCACTGCTGGGATTCTTCTCCATGCACATGTAGCCAGGCCCATATGTACATACACAGTTACACTTTTATTAAGTGCTATTTGATCCATTTGGAAAAAGCCTGCTTGCTGTGATTCATTTGGAACTCACTACAGACTGAAGCTGCCTCAACTTGGAAAAAGCTGAAAGAACTTCAGGAAATACTTACTAGTGCCGTGCACCCCCCATCTACTTGGGAGATTCCATGATGGCTTTACCAGCGGTCTCAAAAGCCACTTTGGGGCAGGCAAATATGTCCCATATTCTCACTCCTCAGTGTCTTCCTTGCCAAACAGCGTGGCAGACAACACTGAACACTGTTCTAAGATGTCACAAAAACGCTCCCACATTGCCCTTGTGCTCTCTACTCACTGAATAGTAGCCCACTTTTTCTCTACTCAGTACAAACAGGCATGAATACTGCTACACATTTTCATGTTAGACAGGAAATGAAAAGACAGGAATAATACAAAAAGAATCATCTACTGCACAACACTGTTGTATAAATTAGAATCCCACTAAAATACTGATTTTTATACCTTGCCTATAAAAATGCTGTTGGCATCCCATCCACAAAACACCATTAAAATTCTGATATCTGCTCAGAATCTCCAACTGGCTCCTGGCAGGGCAGTGCCCACTGTTTAGCCAAGCCCTCAGGGCACACATGCCCAGCCACCATCCCCACCCCACACAGGCCTAGGGCTGGAAGCAAGAGCACAAACAGGGACCAACCCACAGTAGTGTGGTACAGCCAGCCAGCAGGCCACCTGGGCACCAGCCTCCTTTCACAGCAGGGAGAGCTCCCCAGGTGTTTCAGCGGCCAATCTCAGCTGCCAAGTCCTAAGGACAGCCCTATCTCACCCACCTCTATACCAAGTGTGCTTGTGCATTTATGAAACATTTGTCTACCACTTAAGTCAAACTGTTTATCAACATTAAGCCATTGACATGAAATGGATCAGAAACTTTTTAACTTTCAAAAATAGAATGCGTTATGTTTTATTCCAAAGTAATATTTTAGGCATTTAGGATTTTTCCCCAAATTTTTAGGGTGATCTGAGCAGATATACAGCGTTGTAGTCACATACATATTCTATGTAAAGCCCAGTTTTTAAAAAGCATCTAGAAATCAAAATAGTCCAATTCATTTATGAGGCTCAAATGATAATTATGATAGGTAATTGCTGATCACTAGAAAATAAGGCACAAATAATCATTGATCAAGCATACAAAAAATGGCCTTGGACACTGGGTTACAACGGTTCCAATTTAGAAATTTAAATTTTAATTAGGTATAACTTCTACACAATGTTTATGTTTGTGAGATAGTTATAGATTCACACACAGTTGTAAGAAATAATACACAGCAATCCTTACACACTTTACCCAGTTTCTTCCAATGGTGACTATCTTGATTTGGATCTAAATGTCCCCTAAAGGCCAACTGATGGGCTTTCAGGGAATAGATTATGAGGACTCTACTCTCACCAATGGATTAATCTATTGGTTGATTTTTAGTTTGATGGCATTATTGGGAGATGATGAAGGCAGGAGGTGGGGCCCTATTGACAGGAGTAGATGCTGAGGGGTGTGGTCCTGGGAATATATCTGGTCCCCAGCCCCTTCCTCTGTGGCTTTTTCTCTTTTTCTCTGTGTCCTGGCTGTCATAAAGTGAGAAGCTTCCTTCTACTAATCTCTCCACTGTGACGTTCTCTGTCACCCTCACATCCACACACATGGAGCCGCTGACACGGACTATAACCTCTGAAACCGTGAGCCAAAAGAAATCTAAGTGTGTTTTCTTGGGTACTTTGTCACAGTGATAGAAAGCTGATGCAGTAACATTCTGTAGGACCATCATACAATACTACCACTACCAGGATATTACATTGTTACTATTCATGGAACTCACTCAGATTTCCTCAGTTCTACTTGTAATGTGTGTGTGTGTAGTTCTACACAATTTTATCACATGTTTAGGTTTGATATCCACCAGAAGACTCAGGACAGTTAATCATCCTAAGAATCCCTGATGTTGCCCTCTTATACCACATTTATCTCCTTCTTATTCCCCTTTCCTGACCTCTGACTACTGCAAATCTCTTCTCCATTTCTAAACTTCTGGCATCTCAAAACTCTTACAGTATGCAGCTTTTAGAATCTGCTTTATTTCACTCAGCATAATTAATTCTCTGGGGTTTCTTTCCAAGTTTCCATAGATATGGATGCTTTTCTCTTTTAACCACTGCATTTTCCATAGTGTGGAAGTACTACAGTTTATTGAACCACTCACTAGTTGAAGGGGACTGAGGCTGTTTCCCATTTAGAGCTATTACAAATAAAACTGCCACAAACATACGAGGACAGGTTTTTGTGTAAAAGTGAGCTTTAATATTTCTGGGATGACTGCCCAAGAGAGCACTTGCTGGGTGGCATGACAGTTCCACAGCAAACTGCCAAAGAGATTCCCAGCATGGCTTTGCCACTGTGAATCCCCAGCAGCAGTATCTGAGTGATCTGGCTCATCTGCATCTTTGCCTGCATTTGGTGGGAATACTCTGTTCAACCCAAGCCATGCTGGCAAGTGTACAGCGGTTTTAGTCTGACTTCACAATGCTCTTGCCATGGGTATCAAAGGCTGGGCAACCTGGTGCTGGAGGTTAAAACAGCTTGAGAGAACTTTGCTCAGCACAGGGTGACCCCTACATCTCTCTCTCCATTCCAGGCTCTTTGGTTTCAAATAGAAATGGAAAGCAGCAGCAGAAGGGAAACTTTCAAGGGTTCGAGGTAATAAGACAGAAACCAGACTTTATTTTCATAGCAGCAAAGCCATGCCCAAAGCACCCTGGCCTTTCTGATGGGACACAGAACCCATCAGGCAGGAAGACATCTTCTCCTCTGCGGCCCCAGCCCCGCTGCTGACACTGAGCCACCTCTTAAATGGGCCATAATGGACTCTCTACTAAGCAGGCTAAAGTCCTGTCTTGTTCATGTTACCATAATGTAAGCACAAAATCTAGCATATATCAGGTATTTCATAAGGAATGATTGAATGAATGGGAAGAAGAAAAGGAAGGAAGGATGGATGGCTCTGCGGGTGGGTGAGTGGATGGATATGGGTGGCTAGAGGAGCAGGCAGACTGATAAACTTCCACAAGTCTTGGATTTAATCAGGTAGAAATAAGAAGAAATTAGCACTAAAGTTTGGGTTTTTAGCCCACTAATGTGAAAACGTGCCATGTTCCATGTCTCCATTTGTTCTGCTTCAGCCCTTATAAACAAAGGCTGCTCTGAGAAGGGCACCATTTCAGTATCACTGCTTAGAACCCATTTTTCACACAAAGGGTCTCTTACAACTATACTTGTGTCCTTAACATTGGACAGGGCACAGGTACCAACCTACAAAAGCGAATGTAAGTAAAAGAACCTCCTGTCCCTCACCTCAGAGACGTAACCTGGAACACTACACAGTTGAGCTGGCCCACACCCAAGGCTGGAATCAGCACCCCTAAGAAAAGCTACAAGCTTGCCCTTCTTTCTTCGGAAAA